CCCTCCCCTCCCCGATCTACAGATTTTTTAAGCTATTGCGGCTGGTGGCCCCGGGCCGGACTGCGAGGCCCCGAGCTCGGCTGGGGGTGTTGTTTTCTTTATAAGGTTTTGCTGTTGGGTTTTTCCCTTTTTTTCCGTTTTCTCTTTCTCTCCCTCCCATTTTTCTATTTTTAATGGTGTTAAAAGCAAAATCGAGCACCCGGGGACGAGGGTGCGCATGTCGCCGGGTCCTCGCCCCGCCGCCCCGCCGCCCCTCACCTGTACTGTGAAGGGCCCGCCGGACCCCCGCTGAGGTCACCTGCCACCACCGCCTCCCCCCACCCACTTAGCTTCAGGAGAGCTTGCGCCCCCCCCCCCCACCCCCACCCCGGCCGCCCGCAGGGGAGGGCCACCCAGTCTTCCAGAGCCAGGGTGGCGCAAGGGCCGCCCCCTCCCCATCCCCGGGTTTCCCTCCCTCTCCTGCCTTCATATTTTCAGGATGGGTGGCCCCAGCTCATCACCTCAGCGACCCCAAAACGCCCTTGGAGGCTTTGTCGGGGGCAGGGGGCTCCCTTTCCGCCGGCAGGAGGGCCTGGGTGCCGCGGGTTCGGGGGTGCACAGCACCCGCTGGGTACACCCCCGTCGACCCCTCGCCCAAGCATCGCCTGGCTCTCGCTGGGCGGCCCTGTTCCCTCCACTCCTTCCCCCCCACCCCACATCCCCATGAGAATAGACAATCCAGAGCTTCCTCCGAGGCCATGACGGCCAGGCCCAGCCTCTGCTCTTGACCTTAAACTGCAGACGCCGCTGACCCCACCCCCACCCAGGTAGCCTGCCGTCACCTGTGCCCGCCCAGGAGGGGGCGTCAAGGAAGCATAAGGGGCTGCACAGGTGCCGGTAAGCTAACGTGGGGCCCTGCTCACCCCGAGCACCCGATACCCCGTCTCAGGGCTTCTGACCACGGCCCGGCTTGCCCCTGCCGCCCCTCCAGGCTGGGACCTGGGGCCAGACCCCGGGGCCCTGCTTCCTCTCCGGTCCCGGAGAGTGGCCCACCTTCAGGACGCCCCAGCTGCCGCTGTCCCGGCCTCAGCCCCATGTGGGCACCCAGGACCCGCCGGGCAGCGTCCCGCCGCCGGCCCCGCTCCAGACCCCGCTTCACTCTGCCCGGTGCCCAGGCGGCTCGGGGAGACCGCGCCCCCTCTCCCCTCCCGGGCGGTGAAATACTATGCAATACGAGCTTCCTTTCTATGTGCACATGGGCTCCGCCAGTCAGGGAGGGGCGGCGGCTGGGGCGCGGCGGCCACCCTCCCGGCCAAGCGCCCTCCCCACCCCCACCATGACGGCTCAGCCCCCGAGGTCTGCTCAGGGTGGGGACAGTCCCCCGGCTCTATCGGGGTCGCTCCTCGTGCTTAGTTAGATTTTTTAAACATCAGTGGACTCCCTTCCCTGTTCTTGAAGAATACTTGAATGTCGGAGCCGCAGGCAAGGGTTGGGGGGGCCGGACCCCGTCTTCCCCGGCCCCCCTTCTTCTCCCAAGTCTCGTACGATTGTCGCCGTCTGTGGTGGCTGGTGGGGGGTTGGCACCCCCTCCCTAGCTTTCCACCCACCAGGATCTGTGGACTGGTTTTTCCAAAGACGCCCTGTCGCGCTTCCCGGAGTGGGTGGGGTACAGGCCACCCGTCCTCCCCGCCCCCCACCATTTCTCAACCATCTGTGATTCCACGTCTTTTGTAACTGGGGATTCTCTGCCTTTTTGTAACCAGAACAAACTATGGACACCTTTGCCCATCACGGGCGCCCATGGTCATCTTACTCTGGAACGCTGAGCTCTTGAGCAGCTCTTTTTTTTTTTGTAAAGGTGGGACAGTCGCTCCCTCTTCCTCTGTCGCATCCACAGTGCGACATGAGGACTTGGTCAGACCGTTACTGTGAAAGCGGGTGAGGCCCACGCCAGCTCCCGCGGCGGGCGAGGGGGGAGGGCACAGTGTTCCAACGTGGAGATGTTTGAAAAAAAAACAAAAATTTAAAAACGTTTTTTAAAGTGGGGGAAAAACATCCAAGCACTTTAACTCCATTGTACCAGGTGAACTGATACAGCTCAAAAGTTTTCTTTTACACCAACTGTCAAGGCCAGAATTTTGTATTCTGTTTTTTAAGGATTTAATAAAAGTCATAAAAACTTGGCCTTGCGTGCCGGTGTTCCGGTTTTCCGTTGCGACATAAGGAGCGGCTCTGAACTCAGTGATGGTCAATTTAGGGTGTTTGGTGATGCTAGCCGTCGGGAGTTTGGATGGCCACAGTGGGGTGGGCTTGTCTCTGCGTCGTCCACGGTGTCTTCAGCTGGGAAGGCTAAGATGGCCCGGATCATCATGGAAGCGGTCTCCACTCAAAAGTGGACCGGGGTGCCTCGGAAGCTGGGCTCAGCTGGGAATGTTGACTGGAGCGCCTGCGTGAGGCCTCACGTGCGACTTGGGCTTCCTCCCAGCATGGTGGCTGCGTTCCCAGAGGCAGCGTCTGGAGATGCATGTCCGAGAGATCTAGCAGAAGCTGCAAGACTAGCCTCACAGGCCCTGCGGCAATGCTTCCACGTTCCACCACAAACAATGGCTCTAGAGGCTCTGACCAGACTCTAGGGGAGAGTAATCGGATCGCCTCTTGGTGGGGGGAGGGGCAAGGTCTTATTCCAGGAAACAGGGAGGGGGGAGGGGACGGTAGGAGGCAATGTTGCAGCTCACTTTGAACAAAGTAATCAAACAAAACCGAGATGCTTCAAACCTTCCCTGCCTGGCTGGCTCCCCTCCTTCTGTGGAATCCCTCCCCTCAGCAGTAATTGAGCTCTTGTTGTATGCGGACCTCTGTGCTGGGTACCAGGGCAGGAAATGAGCAAAACAGCTCAGGGCTGACTTTAGGTCCTGTGGGGTGGAGTAGAGAGGGTTTTCTGGAAGAGGGAGGCAGGGAATCCCAGTGGTTAAGGACGTCACTCCGGGCTGGGGGTCCCAGCTCCATCCTGCTCACTGCTGTGTGCCTTGGTTTCCCCACCCCTCAGGGGGGTCTGAGACACCGGGGAGGTTAGAAGCAGGAAGCACAATTTCAGTAAGTGGAACTACCAGAGAGAAGGCTGGAGAAAACCAAGGAACAGCTCCATCCGGGAGGGCAGGAGGGCACGCAGGCTGGGCTGGGGGGTCTGGGAGGGTCCCCAGTCACCCGGAGGGCAGGAGGGCACGCAGGCTGGGCTGGGGG